GGTTCTGGCCACATGTATGGCCGCTCTCGCCCGCCCTGGGGAGCCTGGCAGCGAGCCCTCCCTTCCCCCGCCCTCTCGGGGGAAGTGGAGGAGGAAGAGGGTGGGAGGACTGCTGTTTGTGGTGAACAGTTTCTCCGTCTCTCTCACTCCGCGGTGCTCGCGTTGAGTCAAATCCTTAGCTGCTTATGTCAGGCGCAATTCTTTGGTTTGACCTCATCCACGATCCTGTGTTCCCTCAGCGTGGTGTAGGATTTTGGGGGCTCGCTTTTTCATTTCGAGATCCCTGTCTTTCAGGTGGGAGCCTATTCACAATTTTCACTGCCGTTACAATTGTTTACTGCATATACCAGCGTTTGTAGGATATGTCTGACTTTGTTCCTGTAACATCTGTTTATGAGGCTGGCTTCAAAATAAAAAGATAGAGAAGTAAGTATGTAAGTTATAGGTGAAACCAGAACCACTAGCCAAATTTTTATAAGGTCATCTCTAACCAAATTAGTGTTCTTCCAAGAAAACTTCCAACGTGAGCTTGAGTATTGCTCATGTTCAGGGCTTATGGAACAGGTCAGTGAGTTTCTTCCTCTTGACTGTTTTTTTTATTCTTGCTTCTAATTTTCTTTGCAAAAAGTATCAGACTGTTATGTTTGTGGTTTCCCACAGGGTTGCATCCCTGCAGCTCTAAAACGGAAGTCGTAACTTTCCCTTTTGATTTGTTGTAGTTAAGAAAAACAGTAACAATTGTGGGTAGACCTTTTCCTGTGAGTTCAGGAGTGCATTAGTTTCCTGCTTCGTATCCTAGTTGTGTTTAGAAGGTCTGTATGATAAGACATGGGCTTTTTTAGGAGAGAAAACTTATGCTGTGTACACTTCTGCTTATGACTGTCTTGCCATTAAATGTACAGACTTTTCCTTTAAAGTTGTATCCTTAAGGATACTGTCCTTATAACGAACTTTTGCTATCTTAGTGTGCATCAAGTTTAGTTTCCTGCTGTTTTAAGTGACTAATGGTGTGTGACATTTGTGCTACACAAATTACAGTAGCCTGCTTTGTGAGAGAAGTGGCTGATGTCGTCCCCTCTTTCCTCAAAGCTTCATGTCTGCATTAGTCATTTGAAAACAGTGAACTGTCCAGAAAAAATATGATATGAGTTTGGCATCTTATTGGTGGTGGTAGCAATAATAACAGTACTTTACACTATCATTTTCTTGGAGTTTTGTAATGGCTTTTTCATGTCTTGATTGTAAACTGAGCTCACTGCTTGGAAAATAACTAAGGCAATGAATACGAAGGCTCAGTGCTTCGCTACTGTACTTTTTCAACTAGTTGTGCATTTAACTTTGTCTCTCTGAAATCACCTTGCTCTCCCCTCCCCTGCCCTCACCAGCTTTTACCAATCAGTTTTGTTAGTAACTCAGCGGCCGTTAAGTCATTGGAAGACAGCTGTAATGCAACTGGGAGTCACAAGCTGTTTTGTAAGAAAGCTGCTTCTAGTTATTTATGTACGTCTTTTTACTTTTTAGTTGTCGAAGGAACAACTTTGAGGAGCGAAACAAGACTTAAAGTATGTATTTCCACCAGAGAATGATGTCTTTTTTGAGTTTGGTTTTTTTGTTGTTGTTACTTAGGCTTTTGTCAGAACATGTCCAATTCATGTCTGTTCCAGTGGAGATTAATGCAACTGAAATTTAAAAAGTTATTCAAGTTATGGGAACTTTGTTCCATGTTTTCCAAACATGAATGAGGATGGAATGAGAATCTTGTCTTCCCTCTGCAGGGTTGAGAAGTAGTTCCCTACAGGAAATGCAGCACATACAACTGAGCAGAAGAATTTGTTGAGTGGATTTTTTTTCCATTAGCTCTGTCACTGGGCCTAGATTGGAAGAGACAAGTCTTTGAGGCTAATTTTTAAGTAATACGAGTCTGCATTTTTAATTGCTTACTGTTGCTTCCTCTAATAGTGACTAGGATCATGTAACATGTTGGCTGAACTCTGATATTAGGTCAATTTGCTATGTCTTACCTTTTTTTTATCCCCTGCCTCCTGTCTGCTGTGGAGGAGAAAGACTTGTATATGCTCCTTTATTTCTTCAGCTGTAAGATAGTAAAATTCTTCTGTTTTGCTCTAGTGGATGATTACTGGCATTGCCACTTTCTCTTGTTGAGTTTAAGGCAAGAATAAGTGTTTGCAAATAAATATGCCTGGGTTACTGAAACACACCTAGTCTACAAGAAGCCCATTTTGTTTGTTCCTGGGCTTAATCTGTAGGGTGGGCTTATGCTTTTTTGGTAGATGTTAAGCAACTGAACTTCCTGTGGAATAATCTAAAGTGTACTCTCAATACTTTTGTAAATGAACAAAACTTTTCAACTCTATTTAAAGTGGTTGTGAAAGTGTTGCTTTTCTGGTTTAGAGCAGGAATCAGCACTTTCCAGATGGCACAGTGCATGCGATCTCTGGGCCCCTTGCTCTGGCTGCTGCTCAAGATTTCATTAGTACTTGGGTTCTTCTTTGGTAGCCCTGTATTGGAAGCTGGGCTAAAAAGCAGCCTACTTGGCCTGTATAGAATCTAAGAAATCAGGCCTGTCAAGACTTATGAATGATGCAAGGTACTTTTTATTGTAAATTTGACTTGCAGACTAATATCTGCTTTCTTGAAAGCTTGATAATGGGAAATACCACGTACGCTTCTGTATATTATGTAGTGATTACTTGAATTTGTGATGAACTGTTCAGAATGGGAGGGACCCCAAGCTGTATTACTAAAATAGATGTACAGACTTGGATATTTCACCCCAGTAAAGAAATAACAGCAAAATAAGTTAGGCAATCTGGCTCCCTCTGGTTTCTCAGGAGAGCTAATTTAGATCTTGGGGGCTGGGATCGCTGTGCTAAACTGGGTCCTAATCATTGCTAATACCAAGACTTCAACTTCTGTGTTTCCTCCTCGTTTTCTCACTCCTGATAAATTCAAGGCAAGTCTTTATATAGGGTATTCTGCCTTCGTAGCTGCTGTCAAAAAGCCTTCTCTTGGTAGATTTCTTTCCTTCGGTGTTTTGCTTTTCTTTATCTAGCAGCAGTTTTAGGTTGTCATTCAGTATAGTGCAGCAGAAGCAGCTGTTCATAAAAATAGCCCTGATTAGACAGGCAAGTGAGGCATATTTTTCTGCTCAGGTGACATAAGGAAAAAGTCATTCTGAAGTTGTAATTAATTTGAACTTTCATTGTTTTCAGATCAGGTATAGTAATATAGTATATGCAGAGATTAAAAATTCATTATTTACTGTGATACTGTCAAGAAATTAGAAATATTTATATCTTCCTCTTTCGCTTGATTTTATTTTTTTTTTATTAAACCGGAATGCAGAGCTAGTCTAAGAAACAGTGACACTTGTCTTCAGACTGAAGACTTATGATCTGATAGAAATGGATTAGCATCTGGAATACTTAACAGAAAAAATAAGTTTAGAAGGGTTAAAGGAAAGCACTTAACACTGTTTAAAAACTATGAGCAAGTTCCAGTTAGAATTGGGTATTATGGTAGCTATTCACTTCACTGTAAGAGATTATGCATGATCAATGTTTTGCAAAACCAGCAGCTGTTAGTTTATATGGAGGTTTTAAACAATGACCCATACTATTTTCATCTTCTGTTGAAGTAAACAAATTACCATTAAAGTATTTTTAAACATTGTTTTAATTTACAGGTGGATACAGGCACACAGATGGCAGATAACAGGTATGTTGGACTGTTTTCTTGAAGTTAAATCAAGGTAGTTAGAGCTAACTGTATATCTGGTCTTCTGTGGGAGAATATTTTTTACCTGTGAAGAAAGGATTACCAAACTTGGATAAGAATAAAATGATAATGTTTTCTCTAACTAGACTGTGTTTCCTGGGAGCTAGAACAAAATGCTCATTTGGTACAGAAGATTCTGAGATTGTAGGGTATTTGATACAGAATTACTCTGTTCTTGGATTAACATAATTGGTGTTGTCTTGATTCAGTTTTCAGTGTTCATGTTTGAATGCTCTAAAGACTTGAAGACAACACTGATACTCAGTGTTTCTCTTATCTGTATGATTTAAACATGCAAAAGGCATAGTTTTTATAGCATTTTGGGAACAAATAACAGTGGTGTTAAACTGGTGTAAATACATATGTGATGCTGATCTTTCGAGCCTTGCAGTTCACCAGGGTAAGCTGGATAAGCTAGTCTATCCGATAACTAATAATCCCCATTTGCATATATGATATCTTTTCTCCTTTTGTATCTGAGTTAGGGTTAATTTTGGCAATACCCAATATGTATTTTGTGACATATAAACTGTCAGGGACCACAAGGAATGCTTGCTGGCTGTTAACTCATTCTGGGCCCTTTCTTTCTCCAGCACAGGAAGTGTGATGGAAGACGTTGCAGCAGGGAGATGGGGAAGACAGGGACATCTCTTTTTAGAGTAGAAGTGAATGTTACTATTAATCAAAACAACTTGAGACAGAAATTTGAGACAGAAAATAAACAAAGAGCTTTGATCTCTTGTTTATTTTCCTTTCTTATGTGTATCCTTTCTCATGTTTTTCTTCATCACTTACACTAAAAGTGTGTCTTGTCTTGTATTTTCACTTGTGAGTAATAACATTTCCCTGTCCAGAGTGACCCGGTGCAGATGAAAGGCCAGCCATTCACTTAATGAGATTAATTTGTGTGTCAGTGTTTTTTATTTTGGATTTTTGTGTTTTGTTTGGGTTTTGGATTTTTAAGGGTGGGGGTTTACCTTTCCTTTGCATCCTATTCACCATAGGAGAACTAGTTTCGTATCCAGACTTTTAAGTTTTGGGAAGCTTGAACACATAAATACATGTCTTTCAGTGGCATACTTGTTTATAAAACTTGTTCTGTAGTAAATACTGAAAATTCTAAACACTGAAAATTCAGAATACTTTTGTTCTTAAATGTTAACATTTTTATGAAGTGATGCCTTTTTAATATGTTACATTTTTAATTCTTTTAGTAAAACAGAAGATACTGCTTCGGATTCTGTGGAGGCTGCTAAAAATGCAAGTGACAAAAAAGGTAAGAAATACACAGTGGTAGGTAACATTACAAAGGTGGAATAAGCCTATTGCCTTTTGTATTGATACTTCTTTATCTGCAGTTCCGAAACCTTTACAGTCAAAACTACAGATGTGTTCGCTATTGAAAGCATAGTAATTGTTTCTAGGCTAACTATTCACTTTCTGATGTTTTCCATGTTTATTGCAGCCAAGAGCAAAATAAAGGCTATATTTTTGTAACGGTGAAAGTGTTTTTGCATATGTTGTGACTAGGATGCTTTGCTATTGCATGAAATAACCCACTAAACACTTGCAATAAGGCCTGTGTAGACTAGCTTTTAGCAACGTGCAATCTTTATCAGCATAATTATTGAAATGGGTAGTCCTGTATGTATGCTAGTTCTTTACTCTTGTTTGTAGGAAAATGCATGTTTATAATATGTCCTCTTGAGGTGGTTATTCTTAATTTGGAAGGTCTACAGATAACTGCTGAATAACGCGTTTCAAATTAATACTTCTGTGTGCGGGAAAGCTACTGTTCCATTGTTATTAACCTGAATGCTCAAATTTGTAAGTTATAGTGGAATGTGTTTCACATATGTGATCACTGAATGTTCTGTAGGTCTTGCTTACTACTTTTTTTAAAGAAAGTTTTTGTGACTGGCAATTGGCAATTGCATATAAACTGGTAGATACCATTGAATAATTCTTATAGTCAAGTTGGATTAAGAAAAAACAACAACAAAAACCCCAAACAAACAACACACAAACCCACCTATATAAATGTTTCAACAAGTTACTATGTGCTATGCAGTTTATTGTTTTTTAATGTCTTTGGGGAAGAGCAGTGAGAAAGAATGAAAAGATTCGAAAAGCAAATGTCTTCCCACGATGATGACCTGTGTGGTTCTTAGTAAGGGTTTTTAACTTGTAACCAGAAGCATTTTAGATCTGACCTCCCATAGAAATGTCTTCTGTGAACTGTTGTGATGAGTGTTTGAGGAGTCTTAGAGATTGTAAAAGTATCCTGATGTAAAAAATTAGTAGTTGTCAAGGAAATGATCGTAGTGCTGTACTACTTTTACAACTGTACAGTACACAAAGTTTTCGTCAATTTTTTCGGGAGTCAGACTAACCGGAAAACACTTTTATAAATGTCTTGAAAGTATAATTCGATAGTTCTTCTCTTGCAAATTTATATGTGGCTTATAAGCTACAGTTAATGTAGAGGGAGGATAGAGAAACTCCTACTTTGCAGTTTCTTACATAAAAGGGAAGACAGGAAATTTGCTTGTGTCATCAATGTACTACTTGCTTCTAAAAGCAAAGATTTGATATATTTGCAAAGAGAAAGGTGCCTTTTCTATCATTAACTGATTTTATCTTTCTGAAATCTGATCCTGAGGTAATTTTGCTTGAGTTACTAGTTAACTATAGTGGTGCTATTTGAGATCTGGAAGATATTGAGTATTTTTACTGTGACTACTCTTAAGACATGCGGTATGACAAAAGCACTATAAATACATTCATATTTGTTTTAAAAGTGGTTTTCTGTCTTCATAGAAAAGCTAGCAGACCAGGTGATGCAAAACCCGCAGGTCCTGGCAGCTCTGCAGGAACGTCTTGACAACGCGGCACTTACTCCTTCAAGTTACATTGAAACGTAAGTACAGGGCATAATAAAATCCTTGAAAGACTGAAAGCATAATAGAACATTATTACTGTATAATTAAGGTAGGAAATTAAGACAAATGATTCCCTAAAAAAATGGTTGACTTAAACTATGGTTCATAGTGGCCTACTTCTGGAACAAAAAGTCAAATTTTAGTTTATCTACACAAATTTGCAACCAAAATTTTATCCAGGTCAGTATTTTCCTTGGCTGTTATTATTATTCAGGTTAGAAATCCGCTCCCCCCCTCCTTTGTTTCTTTCTGTGACCTTAGTCTGTCAGGCTGTGCGTTGCACTGATTGATGATTTCTGTAAGATTGCCGTCCAGGTTGTAGTGGAAAGTTCAGGACCTGTAAATGCCTAGTTTGAAGCTTTGTTTTGTATTAAGTGTAGAGTAGACTTAAACTTTAAAATTTTGCCTTTGGTAGATATTTGTGCTTTTATTTATTGACTGGGAATAGCTGGTAGACTTTTTTTTTAAAAAAAAAAGTGCTATAAAGAGTTGTTTTTACCTGACTTAAGTGTTAATACTTTTCTGAGTATGACCCGTGAATCAAAACTTACTCCTGTAGAATGCACAGTTCTTATTTTTCATAGATGGATCAGCACAACTCTAGTCTCAAAGTTTAGGTGTAAACAAAGGTATTAATTTCAGATCTCTGAACTACACGGGGAGGGTGGTGTCCCCAGGGAATGGAACAGAAGATAACACCTTTGAGAAGAACTTGGGTAGGAGAGGTTTCTTTCAACTTTTTGAAATAGGTTTTGAAGAAATACGTACATTTGACATAAGCCTTTTATTTAAAAATTGCACTTAGTTATAAGCAGCCTATTTCACAGTGATATATTAAACAATGCTGAGGCAACTAACTTTTAACCCTAAAGAATTGGTTTTCTTTTAGTTTACCAAAAGCAGTGAAAAGAAGAATTGATGCCTTGAAACAGCTCCAGGTGAAATGTGCCCATATAGAAGCTAAATTCTATGAAGAAGTACATGATTTAGAGCGAAAATATGCTGCCCTCTATCAGCCCCTTTTTGATAAGGTGGGAAGACTGTATAATCTTTGTCTCCTTCTAGCTGAGTCAGTTTTATTTGCATGTATGTAATTTTACATCTTCAATTACATTTTTGATTTTTCTGGCACAGAGAAGAGAGTTTATTAATGGAGAAGCTGAACCCACAGACGCAGAGTCAGAATGGCACAGTGAAAATGAGGAAGAAGAAAAACTAGCTGTGAGTACAAGCAGGATAATGAACTACAGATATATCGGATTGTTAGGATGAATTCCTGTACAGTGTTTTCTGTGAAAGACTCGTATTTTTGGAACTAAAGGTTTTATTGGTAATGTGCTCTTGTGATGAATACACTGTTATGTCCAGTGAAAGCTTTTAAACTTTTAGTTTAGACTTTTTTCACATTTGTAACTGGAGTGAATTAATTGAAAAGTTGCCTTTGTTTGCACTGTCCGTAACCTGTTAACAGTATTTTTCTGATAATGGGTTCCATTCCGGTGCTACATGATACCCCAAGATAATAGAAGGCTGGCTGTTTGTTTGCCTGTCCCCTTTATTTTGGGGGACATAATTAGCTTTCATTTCCATAAGTACATATTAGGCGCATGTCACTTAGTCATAAAATGGAATTGGTCTAATACAATGCGTGCTGGCTAGTGGACTCCTAGTTGTCTATTGAGTAGGAACTATCTAGATTTAGGAGGGATAATATAATCTGTAGACTGCCTTTTACTCTCCTATCATCACTTTTGGAGATAGATAATTATGGCTGGCTGCTTTTTCTCAGTGCTGTGTTTGCCATTCTGTCAGGTTTTCTTTGCATTTTTCCTTGGCCTGTTTTCCTCCAGTTTCCTTTGGACACTGTTCTGTATACAAAGCGAATTGTTCTCTTTGGTTTTACTGATCTCATGAGATTTAGCATGACACAGTACTCCATGTGCATAAGCAAAAAAGGTTTGTTAGGCTTTGTGTAAATGCATCATTGACAAGCCATATTCCATGCAATTGTAAGATCAGAAACTTGTCTGGATGGCAAGTAAACTGCTGCTTCATGTCTTCATGTTCTTGGCTAGTTGTAACCCATGTAGCTGCTGTTCAGACGATCTTATGTATTTGCTGCTATCTAGTGGTGTAAAAGGAAAGGTGCAATACAACTAATACAGACTGCGAATTTCTGGGTTTTTGGGGGGGATGGAGTAGTGACTTAGTCATTCTTCTTTTTTATAACATTTGACATCAGTTATGTGTAGGGTATCCTGTATTACAAAAGAGTAATAATTGAGGACAGTGTAATAATGAAAAATAGCCACGAAAACCAACTTTACCAAGTATTCTGCCAAATTGTGAAGCTGAAACAGTATTTCACAGGGCAAAGTGAATTTTTAAATTTTTGGGTGAAACACTGTGAATGGCACATGAAGCTACAGGAATGAGCTGAATAGAGAAAGAGAAATGTATTTTTTTTTTTTCTTGTTTGTAGAAAGATAGACATGTGTGTTAATTATTTCTGTTTTTCAAGTCAGTGAAATTGTCACTCAGTTTATTTAGTCTTTGTGCAGAAGAATTCCAAATGAGTTGAAAGTAAATCGGAATTAAATGTACATATGTTTAGTTGTGTAAATAAACCTTGTGTCCCTTAACTTCATTTAGGGAGAAAAACCAGTATAAATTTTAAATGTTCCTTAAACACATCTTCAGAGATGGCAAATGTTTTGTACGTGTACCTCTGTTTATTAAATATATTAAGATGTGATTTCAGTTCTTAAATGTTTCTGTATTTTTTTCACAGGGAGACCTGAAAAATGTAGTGGTAATAGAAGAAAAAGCAGAAGCAGAAGAGACGAATGTCAAAGGAATTCCAGACTTCTGGTTTACTATCTTTAGGAATGTAGATATGCTAAGTGAATTAGTACAAGTAAGTTTCTCCTCTGAAAAGAATAACTTCTGTTGTGTGTTAAATGAATTGCAACTTTTTCCAATGACTAGTGAGTGCTTGTGGAATGTGTGTGAGACAAAATCTTTGAGTCTTCAGAATCCCTAGTATTATTTCTGAAGATGCTTGGATGGACAGGCACAACAGCTGACCCAACCTGCTAAACACTATGTGGATTGTTTAAGAAATGATCTTGTAACATTTGTAGATAAGAAAGTGGAAGTTTGTGCAGCTCACAACAGCTGTTCCCCTGTAGTTTTGTTAATTTAGTGCATAAGGGATTATTTTTGCAAGGATATTATAAGCATACCCATGGATTTGTTGAATTCATGTTAAATAGCTTATGTAGTTTTTCCCTTAGTTATATAAATTGCTTTTAAAGCTGTTAAGGAGGAATTCTCTGAAGCATATCTTTCTGTAAATCTCACCAGCACTAAATACCCTGAGCGAAGTTATTTTAGTTTTAGTAATGTTCATGCAGCCTAGCATGGTAGCAGCTTTATTTACCCAAAATGAGGCCTAAATATTGAGGATTTGGCACCTGGTATTTGCAACTATGATTAAGAAATTTGGATCCAAATCTGAACTTTAACTGAAATTGTTGAACAGTTACAAGGTTTGGGTCTTTCTTACGAACAGGTTAAACAAGCAAGCTAGGTTGACATTTTCTTCTTCTAAATATTGCCTGCTGAATAGGAATTTCTTTTTTTTTTTTTCTTTTTTTCTCCTTCTTAGGAATATGATGAACCAATCTTGAAACATCTGCAGGATATTAAAGTTAAGTTTTCTGAACCCGGACAGCCTATGGTAAGTTTTCTGTGGTTATTTCTCATTAAGATTGTCTTCATGAAGTGAATAGCGTTTCAAAATTTTCATTCCACTCTCTTCGGCTGGAATGTGTGTGTGTGGGTTCTTTTGGGGCTGATATCTTCATGCTTTGTATTTTAAAGATTTATCTTCAGCTTTCCTGAGCTTTGCTCTTTCATCCTTAGCCTGGACATCTCTGACGTCATTGTAGTTCCTAGATTAAATTCTGGCTCAATTCTATCTAGTTCTCCCTTTATTTTTCTCTCTCAAATTTCAAATTAGCTACTCTTACTAATAACGTTAGTGGCTGCATTTGGTTTGAAAATGAATTGTGGAAAATATTCTGGGTGCTACTTACTATATTCAATATTTCATCTAAAGAAGAGATGTGACTTGGTAGCATTAATCCAAAACAATGATGATGGATACTGTGCCTATTGAAAAGGACAGTAAAATATCTCAGAAGGTTTTTTGAAAGTGTACCTACTGAGTAATTTTTAAAGTACAACTCTGCCTTTAAGTCCAGTGTACAGAAACAGATGCTATGTTTGTTGAAAAGAAGCTGTTTTGTTGCTTATTTAAGTCATGCAGATTATACTTATTCCTTGAACCCCTTTTGAGGGGGAGGCAAGGAGAAGGATGGGATTTAAGCTGACACATCCTTTCCTTAAACTTCATCCTTGTGGCTTTTTCCTTACATTTGGTATTTTTTGTTTTGTCTTACGGAATTATAGTCTTCTGACAAAGTCTAAAATAAATGCAAGAAAAGAGTCATTGAAGATTCACGTAAGGATGGAAGGACTTTCTCAAAATACCTTTTCAAAGTTAATAACAGCTAAAGCAAAGTTGAGGGTTTTTGGTGTGTGTTTGTTTGTTTGTTTTTGAGTCCTCGTCTTTCTCCTATTAGTACCAAAATGCTTGAGCTGATAATAGGCAAGGGAAGTAATACAGACAAAGGAAAATTGGGACTTAAGTTCCTAAATATTGCTAGGGCTGAAGGAGAGGATATGAGTTTTATGAAGAAAATGAATTGTTTAAGCACAAAGTAAAGTCTTGTAAGAAGTTGGTGGTTTTTATCTTCAAGCATATCTATTTGGTGGCATTTGAATGATTAGGGAATAGTTGGTTTTGGCTACACCATTTTTTGTCCTCATTCAGCTTTGTTTTACAGTACCTTAAGTTGGAGAACTGCTCTTAAGACATCAACAAATTTATCTTGTTTCGCACTGTTCGTAACCTCTTGACAGCATATTCCTGTGAATAGGTTCCATTCCAGTGCTACATGAAATCCAGTAATGGAAGGCTGACTAATTCCATGTCCCTTCTCTACTTGGAGACAAAAGGATGCATTCCTGACTACTTGAGTGAAACCTGTTACCCAGTTGTGTGTGACTGTTGTCTGAAATTCTCTGGCTGTTGGAAATGGGTGCAGCAGTGGTAGCTTTGTACTGTAAAAAGTTCATATAACCAGTGTGTAATAAATACACTAATTCTGCTGGGGATTAGGTTTTGCCACTAAAAGAAATAGGTTGATAGTTAGGAATATTCTGATTTACCATTGACTCAAAGTGATTAACTGTAGTTATGGTCCTCCGAAAGTAGGTTCACCTGGCTGCAGTAATGGTGCTTCAATGGTTCTGTTTGCTATAGCCTGTACATATAAACTTTTATCTGCATGAAGCATAAGCGATTTCCTTACTATTTGCTTTTATTTATTTATAATCATGCAAATAAACTTCCATGTGTCTGTACAAATATAACTTCTGCCTAGATATCTATTTGGACATCAGGATCCTTAGCTAGCATATTCAGACCTGAACGATGCACCTGGGTATAACTTAAGTGGCTTAAAATGAGGAAGTTCTGTTTTTTTGAACTTTGTGAGAGCATCTCATACTACAGGGAAAATCTAGAAATACAGGCTGCAAAGATAAGCTAATATCAAAAGCAGAGATGTCCAAATAAAGGTTACTGGAAAGGTTGTTACAACATTTCACATAATTATGTGAAACTTTGAGCTTACCTAATTAGCAGGTATGGAATGAAATACTGAAATGCAGTCTCTGCAGATATTTTTGTCTTGCTAGTCCTTGGGATCCTGCATGCTAAGTAGTGGCACTGGTTACCTATTTATAACCCCAGTGGTGATTTGTGGGATTATTGTGTACAAGTGCTAGTCACTGGTAGTGGCTAAGCTAAGTTGGTAAATCTTCCCCTGAGCGTGTTTGCCAGAGGGAGATTTGCCTTAGCTGAAGACACCTTCCAAACCATACTAGCTGTCTTGAATTGCTTTAAAATGGAAGTAAAGCTGAAGTAGGATATGTGAAGCCAACACAGATATTCCAGTGCACATCTGGTTCCCAATGGCTTCCTTTCCATAAACTGTGAACTTGTGAGTTGGGAAGGCTGCTGTTTGGACTTTCAACCCTTTCTATGTTGTTGAACTGACCTGCAGACTTTTTCCTCCTTCAAGTAACTGAAGCAATGCTGCTGAAAACCTTTATTGTTTCCCCTGTTCCAAGGCAGTGAGTTTTGTTTTACTTTTAAATAGTTCATAGTTGATCCTGAGTGCAAAGTGGGCATATATAGCATTGTGTAAGCAGTTTTGAAAGCTTTACAGACCTGAAAATTGATGCATTGTGTATACTGCAATTTTCCACAACTGGAGCCTTTTGTTCTCCTTGTAAGAACCTGAATTTCTGCAAACAATTTTCAGGTGCCAGAGGAGGCTCAAACATAAGCAGAAACACCTGCTTCAGGTTGTAACCTGTTAAGACATGTATCATCTTAGGCTTCAGTTTATGGAGTCAGTGTTCTTTTGCAGGATTTTCTATTATCAAATGGGGAAAAAAACCCTCTGGTTTGTGGTGGAGCGCACTTTTTAAATACAGGCTCCTGCAATCTAAAATTTTTTTTTTAATCGGGAATAAAGTCTGTTTCAGTCTCTTGAGATCATGACATTGAATGATCAGAGTCGGGGGAGTAACAGAACCTGATGGTGGTGTTCTGATGTCAGAATGGCTTCAGAATAACAACTTCATCATCCCTAGTCAAAAGGTGATGACTAGGCTTCCATAGAAAATGAAACCAAGACTTTTCTCAAAGTACTTATTTCTAAGGTTGTTTTCAAGACAGCAGATTTACATGTAAAGGTGAATGAAGCACAGTAATTACCTGATTATAACTTGAATGTTAATACTAGCCGAGGTTGTTCTAGCTTCCTGCATGTTCAGGATTGGTTGACATTCTTCATTTCCTGCTTCTGCTGTAGTTTGAAAGATATGTTTGCCATTGAATTCTTACTTTTTCCTGTATTCGGTTTCATTACTGGTAATTCTGCTTATGCACTATTTCAAAGATAAAAATTAGTGGTAACACAAAATTATAATGGAACTTTTTTTTTTTAGTCTTTCTCATTAGAGTTCCACTTTGGGCCCAATGACTACTTTTCTAATTCAGTCCTGACAAAAACATACAAGATGAAGTCGGAGCCAGACAAGACAGATCCCTTTTCATTTGAAGGACCTGAAATAGTTGATTGTGAGGGGTAAGGAAAACTGGAAATTCAAAAAACCTTCTGAAGTAATAGTCTGTATTTTCCAGATGCTGTTTTCTCTTGCTATGGTAATGATTAACGAAGATAAAATAAAGCTTTTGCTGACTTAAAAACTGGGAATGTTTGTAGGGGTGATGATCTTAGCCTCGGCATGCAGAAGATACATAGATACGGATACATTTTAACATAGTGTGCATTTTAAATCTTATACCTTTCAAATTTAATAGATTCCTAATGAGGTAACAAGCCTTTATTTCCAGATAACTCAGTAAATTCATTTTAGTCAGTACATTTCATAGACCCCCATCCTCAGTTTGATAAGTAGCCTTAGACTCTCCTGGACTATTGTGCATCTCTTCAGCAATTTTTATTCCAGCAGTAGTTTTGAATCTGGCAGGAGTTGATTATATGTATGATCTGTTCTTTTAGCTTGTGTTGAGGCTGGAACATACTGACCACGCAGTTTGGTTCTGGCAGTCCTGGCTAATGCAGCAAATTTTTTTGGCAAAGTGTATTCAGAAACTGTGGGATGGTGAATTCTCATTTCTGTTCTGGAAGTCTAGTGAGTTGGATAGCACGTTAGAATTTTTCTTTGGGTGAAAGATCTTTCTGTGTAATCTAACCCTTTCTCTTCCTATCAGTGATCTTTGCTCTGTAACTGATGTTCAGTGCCACACTAAAGCAGAGCTGACACAACTGAAAAATGTTTTTTTCTGTTGTCCTGTCCTCCCCACCTTCAAGGATGTGTGTTTGGGTTTTGGTAGGAGAGGGTGTGGGGTTTTTTGTTTTGTTTTTTTTGTTTGTTTTTAAACTAACACTTAGGAAATGCCAAATACTTGCTTTCTTGAATGCACCCTGACAACCTCAAAACCTTTTGGCTTTTAGTGCTATATGTTGGCTTTTGAAATGAGTATACACCTGCAGTGAGGCACAACATCTACTTGCGTGTTTAGTGAAAGTTGTGTCTAAGTAAAAGGCTAGTCTATTTTGACGAAAACTTTAGTTAATTACAGCAAAATGTTTTCTGTTTAAGTCTTACAGAGGAATCCCTTTCTAAAATTGCTGGTATGTCAAAACTTTGATTTCAGGTCATGTTTCCAGATAAAGGTTATGGATACTAGAATAAGTAGAGCAGGAGAACATTTCTGTGGCTTTTTGTGTAGGTTAACTAGAAAACTGTTGACTTTGACCATCTATCTGTAGAACAAGATATTTTTAGGCACTTAAGGGTGACTGTGACACCACTATTTCCATTAGAAGAGAACTACCTGTGTTTACCACTCATTCTTTGCCATGTGTGGTTTTGGGTAAAACTATAGGTGGATGGAGAGACAAGTTTTAAGTGAGATAAAAGTGTCAGTTTGCACAGTAGCAGAAAGGAACTGAAAGCTCTTTCTAGCTTGCTGTACTTGACTGCCAAGTTGGTCTGAGCACTGCTCTTTGGAGAGCTGAAATGTGCCTTTCCCTGGCCACTCTTTGTGCATTTATTTTTAGGGTAACTGGACACCGCCTTGCCCTGTAGTGAGAGGACATCGTTTATTGTTTTCTACTGGTCTGACTGTTGGAAAAGTAATTCTCAACTGTTGAGATTTTTCTGGAATAGCTTAATCACATCCTTGCCTCCAGTAGTTGGGGCAAAGAGGTATTAACGGATGGATGGGGTGGGGACAGTGATTACACTGCAAAGACAAACTATCTAGCTTTTTCATAGTTGATATGTCCAACATACACATAGTCTCTAGCACTCCGATGCATCTACTTGACATCTTGTCAAGTAGATTCAGTTGCCAGTGTGTGTCAAACTAGCTTTATCTAGAGAATGATAAGCCATCTTTGCCTTGATGTTTGTTGCTCTAATGCTCAGTTCCTTATTTTCACTGATGTCTTGTGTTAAAATGCTGTTTCCTACATGTTTTCTCTAGGTGTACTATTGACTGGAAGAAAGGAAAAAATGTTACAGTTAAAACAATCAAGAAAAAACAGAAACACAAGGGTCGAGGCACAGTTCGGACAATTACTAAACAAGTACCTAATGATTCTTTTTTTAACTTCTTCAGCCCAATAAAGGGTAAGCTTGGAAACTGAGAATTTAGGATTGTTAAATTATGTTGTGTTTTATTTATATGTATTTGTATTTATACAGCTTAAACCTGCAAACTAATCAAACTGCTGCATTGTATACTTTCTTCTTACTACAGGAAGATAGCAAACTGCAGCCCATCCAAACAGATCACTTTGTTCTGACATTATTCTGTAGAATTTGACCATTAAGTGTGCTGTGTAAACAGGATTCATAGTGTGGAAAGAGTCTCATGTAGAATCATCTAAAGAAGTTGACTTGTTTTACCACAGGATGGCTCCATGCATCAGTTTGAGGTTTTTAACATACAAAAGAAATATCTTCCAGTGTTGGTCAAGTTATAGTCTATGTGTTTCATTTAAACCTTTGTGTTAAGTGACAGAAGCTTCCTGTGGTTTCTTCTGTGAGCATACATACGTTCCTAATCTTCCTAGTTGATGTTAGATGTGTACTCACGTATTTCAAACAAATTAGATGGATTCCAAAACCATTATTTATTCTTGATACATCTCCCATCGTACTAGTTTTCCAAACATGGATGGAAGAAGCGGTTTACTTTGTGGAGTTCAGAGATGTACTGAACAAAATGGACATTGATTCTCGATTCAGTCATAGGCTATTATGAACTACCTGTCCCTTCTAAATACCACTGCAAATCTCCATGTACATGGGGATAAGAAACAAGTGATAAGTATTTCCGAAGTTGGAGTTTGTTTGGTACAGAAATGTCCTTTGACTTCTCTTTTTTTTTTTTTTTTTTTTTCTTTTGTTACAAGTAGTTGGTGCTTTCAGAAAGGGATAGAGATAGAGATTTGTTTGCCTTTGCCTCATGGTGGTGTTTGTTTTTTTTTTTTTTAAATATTTAAAGGACATGCTCAGGAGGTAGCTGTATAAGAAAGATAAGACTATGACATCTGGCAGTTGATACTTGCATTTTCAACTTGAGAACAGACTAAGCCAAATTGTCACTTTCGCAGTAGGATCACAGTACCATGGAATCTAAGTAGAGGAGTGAAATCTGGTTTTGGGTTTTGTTGTTGTTTTTAAACAAAACAACAACAAAAACACAAACCAAAAAACCCACGCTGTTCCTTACTGGTTACAGTACCAAGCCTCTTCTCAACTATGCTTTGCAAATTGACAAAATGTTAATCTACTTGGTAGCATCTGTGTTTGGGAGGAGGGGGTTGGTAGTGCTCTAGCAAAATAAAGTTACTGTAATTACAGCATTAATATAGAAACAAAATGTGTTGCTCTTTGAGGGGAGAAATGTGATCTGCATGCCTTCTGAACCCATCTTGGTAGAAAGAGTATTTCCTGTGCAAAAATATTTGACACCAAAATGGCAGCTTTGATGCTCTCATTACAGCACATGAAATTCTTGCAAGTGCAATTTCTGTGGGTTTAATTTAGGATGAATCTGAATCATCTTTAAAGGTTTGGTAGTTAGCTTCTGTAGACTTTAACCTCAGCCTTCTCTGGTGTGAGAAGGTCTTTAATACTGTGTTTTGTCACCTTGAATGTTGAGGTGGGCTGGACTATACAAACTTTTCTTAAATTTACTGTCTTGTCTTTTTGCAGTGTCTGGTGATGGAGAGTCGTTGGTAAGTTTACATTTCTGAAACAACACAATTGTTCATTGCCGTGTCTTTTTTGCTAAACATCTCTATAGTGACTGTTTGGGTTCTTTTATTAAGTACAGTGTATTTTTATCATTATTTTTGCTTTTGCCAAAGCTGAGCTTCATCTTGATAAAATGAAAGATACTGTTGTCTTGTCCAAGTAATCTGTTGACATTTTGCTCTTACACATCTTACTGATCCAATACATCTAAAATGATCGTGGTTGGGAAGAGGTCATTATTTTCTCTAGCCATTCAGCACTGTTGTGTGGCTGGTATCTGATTTTTTTCTTTTTCTTTTTTTTTTTCTAATCAGTCTGAAGCATTCTGAACAATTCTGTAACATCAGGTGTCAGAACCACCGAAGTCTGTATGAGCCTTTTTGGTACAAGGAGTTTCAGCAGGCCAGTAGCCTGTGTGTAGAAAGTAGGAAACTTTTAAAATAAATCTCAATTCTGCAAATCTGGATTTAGACTTGTGATATTTCATTTATTGTTACAAAGTTAAGTACACCAAAAGTACGTGTGACCTGAAAGTTGATGTTAATGACAGTCTTGACGTTTTTCAAACTTAACTTTTAAATACTTTTTAAATACTTTTGTATACCTCTGTATACCTCTGTAGCTCATGACATTTTTAGTAGAAAAATCAAACTGAATTGCTTTACAGGATGAAGATTCAGAGTTTACTTTAGCAGCAGATTTTGAAATCGGGCACTTCTTCCGTGAAAGAATAGTCCCTCGTGCTGTGCTGTATTTCACTGGAGAAGCTATAGAGGATGATGATAATGTATGTATGCTATCAGCATTTTGTTTATTAGTCACCATGTAGATAGAAACATTCTCCTTTTCTGATTAGACAAGTATGTAGTATTAATTACGTGAGAATAACAAAAAACCTGAAGAGGTTCCTGTTACTTAGGAATAGGAAAGAATCATTCAGTTTGCTATGGGTTGTTAAATTTTTGCTTCTGGAAGGGGCTTAGTTTTGGTTACTGTGTTTGAGTATGCTAGAGCTATTACTGCAGAAGATTTTATGCAAATATAGCAGAGCTAATAAAACTTTGGCTTTGTTTTTCAGTTTGAAGAAGGTGAAGAAGGTGAAGAGGAGGTGAGATGCATACTGTGTCTTTTATAGATAACTAGTTACCTACTGCATTCCAGTTGTAGAAATAGTCCTATATGGAGCAGAAAATAGTTGTTCGTAAATGCTGCTGTGTATGATACCTCTTTCCAAAAGAGTTCAGCATTCCTGACTTACAAAATCTATGGGTGTTTTTCCTCTTCACAAAAGTACTCTCTGCAAGAACATTTATCCATTTTTTTTCTAGTATTTTGAAAGCTACTTTCTGACATGAGTCAAAAATTAAAGACGAGCTTTTTCCTTGAGTGTACTGCATGATAAAAACCTTCAGTCTTATTTTTAAATACCTGTTACTTAAGAAGTAGTTGAATTCAGCTGTCAGCTTTTAGTTGTCATAAGCTTGAAGACTGCGCCTTGCTAAATGTAAAGTAAAAAAGGAAGAGTGTTCAACTGCTTGGGATAAAGGCTTAATTTAGGCTGGAATTTCTAGTATACCAAGAGCTCTGGTCCATTGACAGTAGTGTTGTATGAATACAAACATACTGTAGAGGCTTTGCACAAAACCACTAAATGATACCATGCTTAAATGAACTAATATTCTCTACAGATAATTATATTTTTATTTTACTGCTTTTACTGTGGTGTTCTTGCTAATTGGTTAAAGGTACCTACCTGACTGTCATCAAGTTCACCATAGTAGAGTACATCAGAAGTTACTGAGCTGGTGGTCTGATGTGAGCTGGCAGCCTTCAGCATGCAGTCCCTTTTTTTCCCTTTGCAGGTTGCCATACAGACTTCTGGGCTTAGGCTGTTGAGTGACTAAACATTTTCTTAATTTTATTTTTTAAGCTGGGTCTTGGTAGAAGCGTACATGTATTTTTAATCTGTCTTCATTGCCAGATGGTACTACCTGGCTGTAGTCACGTGTACAACAGAGTGCAAAAATACTGCAAAATCCTCTGCAGGAATATGTAGTCTGTCCATAGTAATCCAAATAAGCGGAGATTCTTTGGAAGGAGGTCAAAACAAAGAACAAAATTAGACATACATACTTATTACCCGAACTGTAAAATTCCAAATAATATGTAAGGAAGAAGTTAAAAAATTGCTGGGAGAGTGCAGCAGCAGCTTTTGAAGGAAGATTGCCTTAAGCCATGCTGAATCTTTTAAATCTATGTTTTTAAATAATCTTTTAAAGATTTTGCTTTAAGATTTTGAAGATGCTGAATTCTTTTAAGTCAGCCCAAGTAGTTTTAATGTTGACATCTGAAATGCTCTGGAATTACACTGGTAATATAATTTGCTATTTTGTTTTTTCTCCATTACAAGTAGTTGCACTTTTAACCTGTTTTAATTTCTGTTAGTTTATCTCTATTTTGTCATAGGAGTTGGAGGGGGAAGAGGAGGGAGAAGAAGAGGAAGATGCAGAGAGTGATCCTAAGGTGAGTGGTTTTGTGTGCTTAGTCATAACGCAGACTATAATAATGAGCAATGTAACTAAGGTTGTAATAGTTTCTGGAAAAGATTAATAAATTATTAAAAAAACAAAAAACCATCCTAGCTTCTGACTGCAATGTTTTCATCATCTTCAGCACTCAAATTGCTCTTTGAAGAAAAGTTAATGTTTCCATAAGTTGAGAAAATGTAGGTTTTGTCTTCCAACCTGCACCAAGAAAAAGATAATTTCTGAACTGTGTGCCTTTACTTCTTAATGGTATCTCTGTATAATAATGATACATATTTTTCCTTTAGAAATGTCATATTCAAATGTTCTGTGACTAGACTTCAACTTAGAATTAGTGTGACAAATCTCAACTAGCTCATTTATTTTCTTTTTCTTGGAATTATTCTTTTTGGTTGTTCTGATGGCTGCAGGTTAGACTCCCGCATGTCTATACTCAGCTAGAAATAAAAAAAGGTAGTCCGCAACTTTGAATTTTAAACTTTACGAGACATGGTTTAAAATTCAGCCTTAAGGGTTAGTGCTCTTTCTGATAGGTATCTTTCAGTCCTTCAGTCATGGAAAAGTTGATGCTTACATTTAGTGAAGCTGGAACAGTGATGACAGACTTGCATTCATTTGATTCTTAAAACATTAGCTTTTAATTTTTTTATAAAGGCACAGATGAAAAAAGTGAAGGGCGTGCAAAACCATTTGATCTTTGGATGAAAGTCTTAACAGCAGCTTAACATGTCACTCTTCTGACATAGAATTTTATATACATCATCATATCACTAGTAAATGCTTTTTGTCACCCTTATTAAGAATTGAGCATGTTTTTCTTTAATGAGAGATACTGTATACTAAAGAAAGTCTGTCTTGTGGAAAAATTGATCAAACAGGATTAGAGTGGCAGAAATGAGTATTCTTGCTCTGCTCTGCAGGATCAAAATGCAGTGGTGTACCTGTAATGGGGAAAAGTTGGACAGCTGAGAAACAGTGTTAGTTCTGAGTCAGAGTATATTTATGCTAAGTATCAAATATCCTTTTAAAGGATTTGGTATTCTGTAGGAAAAAAGCTTAAGGTATCTTGGAAGGTTATGGTTGTTGCCTCCTGTATTATTTTGTACATTTCACTTTTCATTCATGCTGACAGTTCCTTTCAATTTTTTCCCATTTAGGTGTAATTTAAGTCTGTTTATCATTCATACATTTCTAGGTAAGGTGGAATTCCATTCATACCTAACTTCCAAGAGTCCCATTTGTAGCCATGCAATGTGGTTTGTTTTCTAGGGTTTTCTGTTTTGTTTGGTGGTTTTGTTGGTGTCTTTTTTTTTTTCCTTGTATAGGGAAAAGAAATGTGGGAATGGTTACTTCCAAGTTTAGGTTTTATTAGTAAAAAATAGAAAGAAATTAGTATAGAGATGAATGCCTTTAAATCATATAATTAAATTAGATTTGTCAGAATGACCTCTCTGCCTTCCTGGCACAACTTCTGCTTTGTCTTTGTAGCAGTCAAACTGTATTGTATATACACATGATGAAAGATACTGAGACTTGTCAGACTTTATTTTTTTCCCTGTTTCTGATTTGGTGTTGTGTCTCTTTACTGTTTCTAGTGTACTTGCAAATTATTTCTTAAATATCTCCTCTGCTCTTCTTGAACTCTTGTAAGTCGTCAGCTTACTTAGTGTGTCTTTTCCAACATTATTCTTGTTTATGCTGCCTGACAAAGGCAGTCAGTCACTCTTAGAGGCCTTTTCTTGAGCTCTCATGATTCTGAACAGGTAATGCTCTCCTGCTCATCTGTCTATTTAAAAGAAGGAAAAAAAAAAAAAAAGTTCCTTCTGTGGTATACTGTTGTCTCTCACTTTTCATCCCATGCCTCATAGGGAACAATGCCTGTAACAGGCTCCATATGTTTTTTCACCTGTATGTTAGGCTTGTATCTTTTTTCTTTGGTTACTTAGGAGAAGCTATAATCTTTCCAACTCATTCCCTCTCTGCATAGATAATGGCCGCCTTTGGCTTTGTTAAACTGAAGGATTGAGCTCTGTGTTGGTTTTGTTGTTTTCTTTTTTTTTATTTCTGATCTGATATGCTTTGAGAAGCCAGCCACCTTGCCTCAACATACTTGGTCTCTATTCACTTGCAGTGGTAGAACATTCATTTGTCACAACAGCTTATGTGTCATCCTGCTGCAATCTGTTACACAGATGTCTTCCCTTCTTCCATTAAAAATTGGCAGCCACTGGCTTCTGTTTTTCAAGTCAACTTGGAATTTGTTTGGTTCTTTTTTTCTTTTAAGACTCATACCCATAATCCTGTTTTCTATTCCTTCTTCTGTTCATCCTGTTTTCTGGTCCTGTTTCTCCCTGTCCCCTGCCCATCTTTGCCTTTCAGTTCCGCCCCCCCCCCTTCTTATATCTAGAATAGTTTTCCTTTTCACGTACATAAAAAATAATTGTTCTTTGTTCTGTTTTCCTTTCAAATCCAGTTTCTCCTCTTCAGTCATTTGCGTATTACCTCCTCCTTTATCATTGTACTACATTTGCTACATAAATGTCAACACTTTCTGCTTTGTTAACTTTTCTTCCTTCCTTTCTCTCACTCCTGTCAGTTTAAGTACATTTGAGTTGTGCAGTTAGAACCAGATCATTATCATCTCTTACGCAAAGCACTTATGCTGTATGTAAGTTGTGGCTTTGGAAGACTGAGCAGTCAGATGATTGGAAGTAGCTTCAGAAGATGCTACAAAAACAGATAATGTAGCTTGTTGTGTCTAGTATATTCTTCTGTGTGCTGCATGCCCCGTTCCTTTAGCTGTCTTTATTTCACGTTACTGATGCTATGCTTGAATTGAGAAGTAGCTGGCAAGATAATAAGAGAATGCTCTTTTGAATTGTGAACTAAAAAGCTGCTGCGGGCAGAGACTGCATGTGCTTCAAGGTGCTTAGTCTGTCTTTTTAAGTAACACTGGCAGAAGGGCCTGTTAGCAGTGAATTCATTTTCAGAACCTTTGAAGCGTTCTGTCCAGTTGAGGAGGGAGTTCAGACCACTTGCTTACTTTACTCCAGTTAGCTCTGAGTTTACTTCCTGTGTATTTATTTGATATCCTTGCTTTTTCTTATTCAATAACATAGATTAGAAAATGAACAAAGATAAGTTTTAGCTTTAGGACCCCTAACTGGACTATTTCATGGTAAAACATTTGAAATATTGAAAGGTTTTCTTCCTCCTCTGCTGGAAAAGACATCAGCTTTAGTGCCTACTGCCTGCATTGATCCCACTGTTGGCAGCAAAGTCTGTTTGGAAGTCAGATAGGATCTTGATGGGCTGCCTGTGCCTGCATGGCTACTTTAGCAGATGGGAAGCTTCCCAAAGAGTGATCTGTAAAAGTGAGGAGGTAAAGGCTCGGTTGCTCTTTGAAGCACCTAGGAATCTATCCAGCCTAATCTGTTTAAACACTGAAGATTAATAGAAATTCAGGGTCTCTTTCAGCAGTAACTTTATGTGAAAAAGATCTTGTTCGAAAGGATTGAATTGGGAAGATAAATGGCATGGATACTTTGGGCTTATGCCCCCATCCTCTGGACACCAGATTAATTGGCAGGGTAGACGCAGTGACCTGTGTGTATGAAAGCCATGAAAGCAATATTACTTCAGACCTGCTTTTCTTCTCCATTTCAGCACAATGATCCTGCAAATTTTAGGTGAAATTCCCTCTTTAAATTTGATGTGTCTTCTATGTCCAGGAGCAGCTGATGCAGTTTAGGTGATGTAATTGCTGATGTCTGAGCAAGTGGTCTGTACGTAAGCTAGTTAGCTGAAGTTTCTTGTGTTGTTCTCCTGGGTAATCAAATGCAAGAAGAAAAATGTTCATTGTGGCAAGAGTTTTGGTTTGTTGGGTTTTTTTTAATACTGAGATACTGAGCAAGTGATGCAATAAATAAGAGGCAGTGGCAAAAAAGCTTTATATTGATGCTTGTTAGCAAAAGAGAGAAAATAGGCAGGAGTCCCACTTATTTAGCTTCTATATCTCCATTGGAACAGCATCTCAAACTGAAATCAAAGGCCCAGAGTAGTTTAAACTCCTTACATAGAATAAGTAAATATTATGAAATACTTTAAAGATACAAAAATTTAAAAATCCTACCACTTTTCATATGAACTTAGTCATTGCTTGTGACTACTATGGAGAATCTGTTTACGACAAGAATTCTTCTTTGTCTCTGTAGCACTAGTAGTGAACTTCAGTACATGTGTTTGCTGCTAAATTTATTTTAAAGAAAGATGCAATTCCTCTTTGACTTTTCCAGTTAAAGTCTCTCTGGTCTTTATTGCCTGGCCAATGCACTTTACAATCTTTCTAAGATATCTTGGAAAGTTAATTTAGGGAAATACAGCATGAATGGAAATCTTGCTAGAATGGGCAGATAAATAGTGTGGGGTCTATCTAAGGCAAATAAATGGATTGGTAGTGGCTGGCTGACCAAATGTCGCCAACAGTCTGGGCACTGTGGGAAGAGCAGGCTCAAGCTTAATAGCCTTACCTGAAGGAGTATGGATGTAGTACCTCCATCACACTCGCAGCTTGGAGTCTGGTCCTTGAGCTTACAGGAGGCATTAGAGGCCAAAGATAAGTTTCAACATGCATGTGCCTGATGGGGCAGCTGTAACTTGAAGAAAGTTGTAGTCATCTATCTGTGCTGTTGTCATCTCGGGGTTAGACACTGAGATGCTTTATATGAGGCTGAGGGATAGCTGGAGGCGATGTGGAGCTTACGTGCTGGCTTGCTCTGTAAGAGCAGTGCTGTGCTGTTGAAATGGTGGAAGAAAATTGATTATGTTGGAATCTGGATCTGAGATACTGCCTTGTTACTTATGGCTTGCTTAAACTTTTTATATATATGATCAAGATAGATATGCCCTCAACTGTAAGCTAAAAATAACATAAATAGCAGCGTTTCTCTCAAAATTCTCCAACAACTGACTCATATCCGAGAACCCCTTAAACTGCAGGATTTTTTTCTCTGAGAGCAGTAATCAGCGCTGAATGTCCTTAAGAAGGAACTTTGTCATCTCTCTGACTCAGTTTTTACAGGATAAAGATTTATATGCAATAATATGATTTAAATGTTTACAGAAACTAAGACAAGTATAAAGAAAAGATAATGAAGTTTATTAGAAAATATAACAAGGGTTTTGATTATCATTAAAATTCAGCTCAGATGGTTGCAGTGGTCAACCTAAGTGTGTCTGACATAAATATAACAAGTGAATAGGAAGGAGGGAGGAAGATGGCAAGATTTTTTAAAGTACTTTCTAAATAACAGGTTTGTTACTTGATTGTGGCTTTTATTCAGAACTCATGAGGGAGGGGAAATGATGCTGTGTACTACTCTGTGGCCATGTTCAAATACAAAGCAGTTATAAGAAAAACAGGTACTCTTGGAATGCTTTTTGATAAAAATGTTGCCATTTTTTGCCTGTTTCTAAATAAAAAGGAATAGCATGCAACATATTACCAATGGCAATCAGATTTTCCTTTTTTTTAGAGAGACAGAATGCTAATTTTGTGTTCTGTGTAAACATATCCCTCTTTTCAAGACGGAATTCATGCTGTCTTTAGTCCCAGATCAGTGAAAATGAATTCACATCGGTGTTATTTGGAACCCCAGGCAGATGAGAGAGTACAAAGTTGAAGTTAGCCAGATGTGCTGGGGGAGGAAAACCACAAGGAAGAAGTCTGAAAAGTCTTTGGCCTGTCTGCGTACAGGAGACAGCATTTAGCTTTAATCCAGACTTCCAGCAGGAGTGGTAGTGACCGCTATAACCCTAAAGCCGTTTAGGTGAGGAAGAGAAAAACAGTCTGAGTTTAGTGCAGATTATCAAGAGCAAAACTTATCATAAGGAATCTTAGTTGCACCTGTTCTTCCTCACTACAGGCAAAATGCTTAAATTGTCTTAGCTCTTGGTGACTTGATGCATAATGAACTTTTGCATATTTACTTCTTTTACAACACATAAAGCTCTTTAGGGTAGTCACTAAGATACATTTTATTTTGCGGCCAGTGACATTCAAGGTGTCATGTTTTATACCTGTATTTTTTACTAGAATTCAGCAGATTTCTGTGACTGCTATTTCTTCATAATAAACTACATTAAGAACAGTAGAGAGAAGCAAACAGGAAATACACTGAATAAATTATCCTGCTTTCTAAGAATCCTGGTTTACGACAAAAAAGTGAGAAGTGCAGTGTAAAACCTGGAGCTCTTAGCTGTTTGAGTACTTGTTCTCCTTCCCAAATACACTTCCTTTTGCCAAAGGGGAAGTTGGTTTACTGCCTGATGAAGGTGTTTCTACTTTTACATATTCAGATTAACATGTGGACTTCTTACTCAGTGTTAAACTGTTGAATAGTTACCTGCTGGTGATACAGAACCTAGAAGAAATCAACACATTAATTACATTTTTATCGCCTTAGCAGAAAGGACAAGGCTTCTAAAGAAAAAACGCAAGCGTGCTGCAGAATAAGTAGCCTGCCTTCCCTGCCTGCCTCCCTCCTCAGAGGTAGTGAGGAGGTGGCAGTTTGTTGTTAAACTGTTTAATACGAACTGAAAGTCAAATGAAAGCCTCTGGTTGCAGGGAGTAGAGGGTGGTTTGCTTTCTTGTTTGTTTGATCCTTGGCCTACTGGATGGAGTGTAAAGAACGCAAATGTAGATTAAAAATATTATGGGGTACCAAGTAGTTGGGGGCAGGGGGAAGCCCAATAAATATGATGACTGCTGTTAAGACCTTTGTGATCTAGCTTGACTTTATATGTAGCTTTTTTGTACATGCTAGTGATATCTCTAGCTAATTCAAAACTGCATAGTCAGTTTCTTGTATTTGTTGAAATATTTTCTTGTATGCCATTTTTATTTTTAACTGTTGGGTTTTTTTTGTTTTTCCTTTTATACAGAAAGATTCCAGCCAACCTGCTGAATGCAAACAACAGTAATAAGGAAATACCACTTGGAAGTGATATTTGAACAACTTGTAACAAATATTTGGATACCTGGCCTGCAGTTCAGGATATTCCATCGCTGCAGCACAATCTTATTAACAATGCTTAAAATTAATTTGTTTTAAAATGCATGATTTTCACTAACTTTTCTTTATTGCTTAACATGTACAGTGGCAACTTCAATGCATTTGGGAAATATGAGGTTTAAATAAAGCACACTCTACAGCCGTTGGTACACTGTAGCTAAGTATGTCAGCAGGCCTTTAGAGCCTTTTGCCCTATGCATAGGGGAATAGTCCAGACTACCAAGTGAGGATTATCCATTTTCTTGTTAAACATTGGAAATTGTGGAATAGCAATGTGCTGAGAAGCTAAAGTAAATGGATTACATGTATGGTAGCTGAAACAGATAGAGCAATATGACTTTTTTGCTAGTTCCCTCTCCCCTTTTTTAATGTTTCTTGCAACCTACAGATTGAACTAGTGCTTGAGCAGCTTTAAATGTCATATTTATTATCTCAGTAAAACCAATTGAAGTAATTTTACTTCATTGAAGGGGGTGTCATATTTGAGACTTAGTTGTTCATCTTACTATTTATTTATTCATGTTTGTAAGTACTTTGACAGAATTAGTGCTTTTTAATAGTTTTTAATATACTTGAAAATCTTCTTCCTCTTTTGCATACAATATGGGTACTTGTAAAACAAATAATTTGAATTGGTCTCAATGTAGTAGTCTAGACAGAAGAAATGAACTTGCATCAAAATGACAACTCTTCTGGATGAAGATCAAAATGCAAAGGCCAAACTGTTGCTGTTCGTGGAAGTGGGTTGCAGCCAAAGAACCAGAAAATTTCCAGTAGTCTTATTGCTTAGTGTCCAGCATGGAAGGACCTTTCACTATGAACACATAAATCTATCAAAATTCAGTACAATAAATCTGAAGTTTTGGTGTCTTACTTGCAACACTGAAATTATTCCATTCCACAATTTGTTTTATTTAAAGCTTTGAAGTCTTCAAAACGACCTTTTGTTGTTGTGTGGCACTCCAGGTACACGTTTCTAGTTTCAGCATCCATTGCCAACTTCTGGCAGCAGTTGAATAGCAGCTGTATCAACACTGTGACCAGGCATGTAGAGTGCTCCAGCCTTACCTTACACATTTGTAACTTAATACAGTGTTTTCAATTTGTACAGAATAGATAGAATATTCTATTAAAGTTGTGAAACATGATTGTTGCTGCCTGTCTGGTCCGTAATGCTTCCTAGGTTAAATGAATATCCCTTTGACTTTCGGTAGTGAATGGTGGAGTGTTTAACAAGGGGCATGCCCACTGTTTGGCATCCTACAGCTCTTGTCCGAACATCCTGCTAGTTTCATTTGTTGTCAAAGCCAAGGAAAAGGAGCCCTTGTAAATATTGCATTACGGAGATCTTTGGTGTAAATCGGAGCAAACTTTCTCAATTTGCAAGTTAACAGTCTGGAATGTTTTGTAGGATTTGGGTTTTTTGGGAGGTGGTGTCATTATTAAAGGTTCCACAGGGTCTGCAGTTCGGTCATGGACTAAATGAGGTGCTTGGGGACATAAGCAGGTTTATGACGTTAAAATATCCCCACATCAGTACCTTACAGTCAGAAAATGCATAGCACTAATGCTCAGGTGACAGTATTAAGGCAGGAATAGGGATATGTGGTGAACTTTTTTTTTAAATCTAGTTTTTGTAATCAGTCATTAGACTACTAGGGCAGGCACAGAGAACAGTGTAAAGGCGTAGCTGGCAAGAGGCGGAATAATGGAGTTTGCATGCATGCAAACTGGCTGATAACAGGGCCAGTGATGGTGGGCACATCAAATAGAGGTATTTGACCGGCTTCTTTTCTTCTTTCTATCAAAAGAAATTGAATGATAATTTCCCTCTCCTAAAGAAGTATTTTTCACTACATGGTTAAACAGGAGTGCTGCTACCTGGAGATAAGCATCTGCAGATTAGCACACTGAAGTAATTTATGTGCATGAATCCCGAAAGGCTAACTTTAATTTTGAGAAAACGGGAAATTCCAGAACATGTAGAGCAAACGTGCCAGCATTCAGGGAGCGCAAATGAGATGAGTGGGTAAGGAAGCTGCCTGGTGAGATGTTCATCCTCGGGAGAGTGAGGGGAGAGCTGAGCTGGGGTTCGTTAAAGCAGAGTTAATGCCAGTCGACAGCCTAACAGCAAACAGATCTTGTCAAAACCCAGTCAGAACTCTTGCCATTGCAGATCTGGCTGATAATGGCGAAGATGAGCGTTTCATAGACTTCCCTGTTTTCAGATGGTTATTTATAGACTTTGTCTACAGGAAAAGTAACTAACAGGTACTTGGACAGCTCGGCTCATTCCTTCAGCAGAGAAGAGTATGAAGAACTGATGGGTTGGTTGTCACAATGTCATGGCTGGACAAATGCAGGCTGGATGGTAAATACAGGGAGCGTGAGTGTGCAAAAAGGAGGTAAGAGTGATTGACTGTTAGAAAAGAAAATTAAAAAACAAAATCAATACTAGTGTTTTCTGAAGACTGTGCCTTAAGACAAATAAAGTGGGGGCCCTGTGTAAATCTAAGGTGGGAAGTTTTAAAAATGGTGAGGTGATACCAAAAAAGTGAGTCTACATGCATACCCACCTGATTACCATCACAGCAAGCTGCTAAAAGGAACTGTGGGAACACGCTCTTTTGATGCAGTCTTCATGTTGGTAGCTTCTCATTTGACGGAAAAAAAAAAAAAGCTCCATTTCTGGGTCTGAAAGTTGAAGCAGCTGGAAGTGCTCCAAGCAAGATTAATTTGGCATGTCACCTCCTTGGGCTGCTTGCATGATTAATAGCTTCTCAGCGCCTCGGTTGTCTAGGAAGAAAGCCTTGGAGGTACTACCCCGCTGCCTGATCTGATACAGAAGCAAATGGCAAACACTCAGCTTCCAGCTGAAAATGGGGGACAGGCTGGGGTTTCCCAGGAGTCTGTTGCACAGCGTTAGGGTACCTTCCTGGGAGCTTGGTATTTGGGATAACTGAGAGCTTTCGGTCCGGTTTCAGTATGTTCAGTTATCTGGGGTTTGCTATCTGGGTAGGATTTGTGGTAGCTGGAAAAATTAAAATGGTCCCTGTGTGTTTCCACTCTCCTTATTAAACAGGCTTTTCTTGTTTTAAAATAAAGGAGACTTGTAATAAATTCATCCTCAGTGAAACGCTTCCTTGACAGCAGTTCCTCAAGCAAATGAGGTCTTGCCGAGGAAGCCAGCTCAGCACAGTGCAGTCCGGAGGAGGCCCACGCTGGAGAGGAGCGCGTAAGAAGAGGTCAGACTAGTTATGGCATGAGGAAATCGCTTGCTCCTTGCAAGCTCGGCGATTCAGGAGGCGAGTTTAAGATGTGAGACATGCCCTGGCCGCCTGACATTACATGAGGTAACATATAACCTTATGAACTTGCACTGGAAATTTGCACCTTCTTCTGAAGCACCTTTGCTTGAGTCCTTTTGGAAATAATTACAGCTCAGCCAGAAAACAGAAGGAACATCCTTTCTAGTTGAGCCTATAAGCACAAGTAGTGGATTATGCAGCCAGGTGGGAGACCTGCTTCTCTGGCTGCTGGAGCATGTGTTGTGTGCCCCAAAGCCTCACTGTTGCTAAACTTCACCTGGTCCCGTGGCTGTTTTATGTCCACCACCATGTGGCTTTTGGAAAAACATGGAGTTTACTTTGGGCTCCTGCAAATCACCTCTTGATAGCTTGTTGTAAATGGCAATGTATTAAAAAAAAAAATTGGAGTGCTGCATTCGTGCTTCTTTATCCTCTGCCTAAATATCTCTGTTATTTCTGCCTAAATATCTCTGTTATTTCCCAAATAAGGACTGGGAGGCATTGATTTTGTGTCACTGTAGTATCTGTTTAGGACTCTTCCCCTGAAGCTGAAGTCCTCCCATTTTTTACCTTTGTTGCCCATGTTTTTCACTATAATCAGTGTGCAAACCACTCTGTCGTTATAGCTGTGACCTGTGTGTGGAAGAACCTTCATCCTCCTTTTCCCAAACAGTTTATAAGTCATCACACTAATAGCAGGCAGAGCTATTTTTTTCCACACGCTCATACTGCTGTCCTAAATACCTCCAGCCTTTTGCGGGCCAGGAAGCCCAAGCAATAAATGCCATAAGTCACTCTGGTTTGACAAGCATCCAAAAAAAAAAAAAAAAGAAAAAATCCAAGGCTGTGCACTGTTAATGAAGCATCATGTGAATGAAGGCTGAGCTGTTTGCCAAGTGACAGCTTTTGTTTCCAGACCGGCTTTCCTCTCTGCTTGTTCACCTCACCATTACACAAGCAGAAATGCACGCTCCACCCGGCAGTGCGCTCGCCTCTTGCACAAGCCACCTTACCCTCCGGTTTTTACCGTGGGAATCCGAACACCTTGTGAGGATGCCAAACCAGGTTAATACAACCCAGTGAGCATGTGCTCCAATTGCCAGCACAGCTCAGCACAGCCTCCCAACTTGTACGAGCCGTCCTGGTAACAGTCTCGCGCTGAAAAAAAAAAAAAAAAACAAACCAAAAAAAACCACCAACCCCACAACCTACCCTCCTAGCAAATTTTCCTTTCCCAAAGAAACTGTTGTCAGGGATGCAGTGGCCTCTTGCTGACTCACCTCTGCCTTGCTGCTTGCCCCCAGCAGCTGCGAGTGAAATGTAACCCATATCAGACCCATCCCAGCTTAAGAAAAGGACTGAAGAGAAGGGAGATGTTACGGAGTTTACTCATTATGCAACTTGACCCAAAGGGGAAGAAAAAAAAATAATGTAAATTTACCCCTGCCTGGGACAGAAACCAAACAGCATAAGATGATGCTAGAAAAGAAGGACTGTTGGTCTGTCATCCATGCAAATCTTTGCACTGTGCAGATATTCCTTGTGAGCTGTTAAACTGATCTTTTTGCAAAGCAAATTCATTCCGGTGGTTGTTGAGTCCACGTTCATCCACCTTTTAGGGGTAAAGGAGGAACTTGCCTCGGTGTTTTAGCATTGATGTCTGCTTGACCAACAATGGTAAGGTCACACTTAGGAGGAGTTTAGTGTTGGGGTTTTTTTTCTTTTTTTATATTATTTTTTATTTCACCCAATTAACTACTCTTCCTTCTTCCTCTTCACACTCCTGACTTAAGGCACATTTCAAACTCTTTGATTTG